CAGAGCAGGAGGGTGAGGAGATGTAAGGAAAAAAAAATGGAGACCGAAGATCAGTAAGGAGAAGATGGGATGGTTGCTGTGCTGTGCTATGGTTCTCAAACATGGAGAAAATAAATTGTTCTCAAAAGGACTATTTCATCAGTGAGAGACCTGTATAGCAAAGGAGAGCGACCTCGCTCTGAGGAAAAAACCCTGGCCTTTGAGGACTGCACTGAACTGATCAGTAGCCAAAAAAGAGAGGAAGAGGGTTGGCACCCCCACAATGTTTGAAGCAAGTTGRTGCTAAGAAGAAATTGTGTTCTGTGGGGAGGGAAGAGGTGTCCCCACCCCACGTCTGAAGTAAGTGGATGCTTAGAAGAAGCTGTATTCTGCCAGGAGATTTGTGATAGTTGGTCTTACGCTGCCAAAACAACGCAGTTTGGCCTTGAAGGACGTTCTTTCTTTTTTCCTACAAGGTAAAGAAAATACTGCCTTGCCATCAGCAGTTATACACTGACTGTTTCTTGGGAAAAGAACTTCCACAGCTTGGAGCTGTAAGAACGCTTCTCCTATGATGCTGGAAAACAACTGTAATGAGTGGTTTGATCTATGTTAGACTTTCATTCCTGTCCCCTGTGTGTGTGGGAAGACATGGGGGGTGGAGAGGGAGGACCTGGGAAAGAGACGGGTCACAGAAAGGATAACAGGTATCTCAAAATGTCCGTTTTTATTTTTCTTCTCCTTGTAAATTTGTCGCTGTCTTTGTTCCCCTCCCCGGTGCGGTAGTATTCTTCGGAGTTTGTAATAATAAATCTATTTTGCAACTTAAGTTATGGAGCCATTCTCTGGAGCACATACGTATCTTTCTCCCAGTTATGTTATGTTTTCTGAAAGCCATAAATTTTCGTATTAATTGGGCTTTTGCTCTCCCTTCTCTCTCTCCGGTGCGGGAAATGGATGGAACGGCGTGGGTGCAGTGCTTTTGCCTTTCAGCACAGTCTAAACCACCACACTCGGGCTCATCCCCCGCCGGGGGCTGCCRCCCCCTCTGCCCCCTCCCCAAATTCCCTCTGGGGTGAGCAGGAGCCAGCTCAGCTGGGGAGGGAAAAGGGGGTGACACTGGGATGGGAGAGGGGGTCACACTCGCTCTGGGGGGACACACACGGCCCCTGGGGACCCCCCCTCACCTTCTCCTGCAGAGCCAGGAGGACAAACCCCAACA